ATCTTGGGTTTGATCCTGGGGGGGGGTCTGTTAAATGAGATGATATATTGAAAAAAATTGGAAAGGGTTCAATGAGATGCTGCGTGGATGGGTTCAAGGACGCAGCGGGCTCACTTTTCCCTCTGGCTCCTTCTGCAGTCGGCCACGGGCAGAGCGAAGGGGAGAGGATGGTGGTGTCTGACTTCCACGTTTTCGTCAGGGACGTGCTACAGCACGTGGACGTCATGCGGAAGGACTACCCCAGCCTCCCTGTCTTCCTCCTGGGCCACTCCATGGTAAGCAGACCCCGCCCCTGATGACAGGCTCACCACCCCTGTCCTCCCTCCCAGCAGCAGCTCCTGGAGGCCGAGGCAGGAGGATCGCAAGGTGGAGGCCAGCCTCAACCACTGAGCCCCTGAGCCACTCAGCGAGACCCTGTCTCTCTGCCCCTTTGGCTTTTTTCAGGGAGGTGCCATTGTGATCCTCACAGCGGCGGAGAGGCCGGGCCACTTCTGTGGGATGGTCCTCATCTCACCCCTGGTTCTGGCCAATCCCGAATCTGCAACAACTTTCAAGGTAAAGGGCTTTCTGGGGGGGGGTGTGTGCGGTCCCCCGCGGTCCCCCGGGTCGTGCATGCCTTCCTGTGAGCTAGAGGCTGCGTCAAAGGGCCCAGGGCCACGGTGCCAAAGTTTGCACAAAGATCCTCGTGCCCCTGGGGACCTGTAGCCTCCAAAGTCCGCTGCTGCGTTTCCCCCAAAGACAAAGGAGAGGCACAGGGGCCTTTCCTGCTCTGCGCCGGTTCTTTCTGCCAAGTTGCAAAGGAGAATAGGCTTCTGTGTGTCATCTGTCCCCAAAGTCACTCACAGGCGAGGCCTGAGCTATTTTTATTATTATTATTATTTTGGAACAGAACCTTCCCCCACTTGGACAGGAAATGCACAGCGAAGGGCAATTCTCGGCGATTGCTAATGGCCACCGAGAAGGGTGTTTGTTCCCTCCAGTTCCTCTCTGTCCCCCGAGTCTAATGGGGTTCATTGGGATTAGCATGCGTGGGGTGGGGGCTCTGGGATTCTCTTGACAAGAGAATGGGGAAGGAGAGGAAACCAGTCCCCTCTCTGCTTGATCCCAGCAGCTCGGGAGGCCGAGGCAGGAGGATCGCAAGGTGGAGGCCAGCCTCAGCCACTTAGCAAGGCCCTGAGCCACTCAGCGAGGCCCTGTCTCTCAATAAAATAGAAAAAGGGGCTCAGGGGTTAAGTGCCCCTGGGGTCAATCCCTGGGACCAAATAGAGTTGTTTTTTTATTTTCTAATCCACATCCACAGGCCTGATCCTGGGCTCCATGGAGGCTAATGCACCTCCAGGGCACTCCATCACTGAAATGCACCAGGGACGCTTTTGCGCCCTGCTTGACACTTCCCCTAATGACTGTGATGAAGCCACAGGAGCCCGAGCGAGCG